GTAACACACTAAATCAATCGAATGAAATTTTTTGCAAAATGCATATTCGTACACTTTAATGCGCAAAAGTGAAACATAGTTAACATAAATTACTAAAATTCACATATAAATAGATAAAATTTCTTTCATCGAAAATCATATCTTCGGCAGATTTCTTTTCAGTCTTATCCAATACGAGCGAAGAAAACGAAAAATCCAAGTTCGATGTAAATTAAAAAAAAAAACAATTTCGTACACTCTATGCAGTTGCAAGGATAAGAAAGAAAACACAAAGATCACAATAACGAAATTCATAGACACACATATTTCACACTGTGCTTCAAACCAGTATCTTCGCCAGATCTCTTCTTTTCGGTCTTATCCAATACGAGCGAAAAAAACTAAAAATCCAAATTCGATACAAATTGAAAAAAAATTCTGTGCAATTGCAAAGATAAGAAAGAAAGAACACAAAGATCGCACGATGAAATTCACAGACACTGATATTTCACACTGCGCTTAAAACCACTATCTTCGCCTGATCTCTTCTTTTCAGTCTTATCCAATACGAGCGAAAAAAACTAAAAATCCAAATTCGATACAAATTGAAAAAAAATTCTGTGCAATTGCAAAGATAAGAAAGAAAGAACACAAAGATCGCACGATGAAATTCTGTGTTTCACCGATCGTTAGATACTTGCGTCATAATTTCGTCGCACAAACTTCTCAATACAAATAGACAAGAACTGAGCAATTGAACGAGTTACTTTGGACAGTAAATAACACTTCCGAAGAAATCGCGTTCCCCGTGCTTTTCGAGAAACCGAGATTTCACCGAACCGGAGGATCCTCTTCTCCCGTATGAATACGCACGGCGTTCCACGTCGAATTACCGGTGTATTTCCCAAGTTGTGTCGTCACGGTCCAGGCAAACACTGTGCGTGAATGGAGCCGATGCTGAAGGCCCGATTGGCGGAGTACGGATTCCCGGAACCAAGAAGGAGACCGACCGGTCGGTTTCGGGGCGTGCATCGCCGACCGCTGAATCACGTTCAATCGGCCATCTTTACCTATTTTTTCTCTTCTCCTTCGTGTTCTTATTTCAGGGATCAGACCAGCCAGCCTGACCGTGTGCGATGTAACCTTTCGAAATTCGGTTGGCTAATGTGTGTATTTCTTTGCTCGTGCTTCTTTCGCGCAGTTCCTTTTTCCGCTTTTCCGGGAATCAAACGGACCAGTTGAATTTTTGCTTTTCTTCTTTTTCAGCTGGAAGAAAGTTTCGATAGAAAGTTGCCAAAGCTTTACGTGGATTTTAACGTAGCTTTTATTGTTTTTAATAATTTCGTTATATTTAATAAGTTTTAGTAATGTTTTACAGGGACGTTGGTTACGCGTGCTTATATCAGGTCGGTAAGAAAAATTCCTACCGTATTTTTCTGGAGAATATTTACCTGTTTATTCTTCGGTGTATTTATAATTAGTTGTCGTAAGAATACTAATTGGTGTCGCGTTAATACTACAACCGAATGAACTGTAGTGTTGTCGTAAATAGCAACTGTGAAAATTTAAACGGGAATTTTATAAAGATTTAGACACTTTTGTGAAGAATTTTGTAAAAATTTAAATAAAGACGTGTGTACAGTGCTTTTTAGTGGTGTCGATTTACAAAACGATGGAAAGTTTGCATAGACTTAATATTTGTAAATTACATTCCTTTTTAGGAAGTGGTATACTTGTGAACATGCCTCGATGTTCGCTTTACTGAGAAGTAATCTTGCGTCTTATTTTATTTTTTAGATTAGTTCCATTATTTGAGTGTCGAACAGTGGCCAATGCCGAACTATATAATAATTTAAAGAAAAATATTTTAACAGCGATGACCCAAAAAAAAAAAAAAAAAAAATAGGAAGAATTGTGGGATGAGAAGGTGCTTGCGATTGTTTTTCTCAAATTTAAAACATTTCCTTGGAAGTATCGATCTAAATTGTAAAATTCGACAGGAACTAATGGGATGATTTGATATACGATTTAAATCCTGTTTTTTATAATTACAATTGCATTCGCGTTGTAGCAACCAATGAAATTTATCGCAATTCGCAAGGCTTTTCTGCGGTCGACGAAGAAATCGTCGTTCTGGAGATATCTGCTTGCTAAAAGAGAAAAAATGAAATCTGTTTGTGTATGACTGATTGGTCGAAGTGAAAATTGTTGGAACTGTGTGGCGGGAAAATTTTGAAATTTGCGCATTTTCTGGAGATACACCAGCGATTTGTCATGCTACCGTACAATTTCGAAAATGGAAGAATCAACAATCTTCTATGGTGCAGTGTCGTTATTTTTTTTTTTTTTTTTTTTTTTACAGAGGTTTAATTCGAATAATCAGTCTGATGTAATACTCGTCTTCGTTACCGGTGATATCAATGAATAAATTAACTGTGTAACTGGTTTTTCTTTTCTTTTTTATCCGCTTCAACGCATTCTTGTACATTACACATATGTGAATAGATTACTCATTTATATGCGTAAGAATTTAGTCAGCCAGATGTAAGAAGGCCAAAACCTTCTGGCAAATTTAATCACACTCGTATTCTATATTCGTCTCGGTTTTTGTGCATATGGTTACTAATTTTCTTAGAAGAGCTGATCGCATTTTACTTATTCGCCACAAGCCACATGCGACAATTTCATTTTCATTTCTTCTATGAAATTATTTTTCTTACTGTATTCTTGAATATTCTTACATTTTCATTTTTCGTTACCTTGTTCATCGTGTTGCTTATTTTTTATTATACGATAACATGTACGCTTCATTTCTTGAAACGTTAACTTTGTAAAATATTTATTAGGATGAACGGAGTTGATTAAAAAAACATGTAAATTTATCTCGATTAAGAACAGCATCTGTTCAGACATAATTACTTGTAATGACAATGTTAATACAAAGATTTTAATTTGAAAATTAAATCACAGACGAGGTACGGAGTAGAGCTATTACTCGATGTATTTTTTTGTACACGTTACGCGAGCTCTGGAGTTCCCTTACCATTATCGTGTCGCTTCCTAAGTTACCGATTCAGCGTAGAATAAGATTGCAGCGTCGGTAGTGGTTGGAATTAGAACTAAATGTAAAAATGAAAAGAAAATAATGTAAAAACACAGACGAAGCATAGAATAGACCTGTCACCACAGACGAGATATTGAGTAGATTAATGATTTTATGGGACTTTTTGTCACACGATCTGTAATACCGACGTTGTCCAAAATTACTGATTTGAGGCACACTCTACGCTTAAGATGGGTCATTTTAAGAACTGTATTCCGCAAAATGATCGACATTGGTCGTTTTGTATATAAATACGTTGTTACTGCTTGTCAATACATTCTTGAATCCCGAAACGCAAATGTGTGTGACTGAATCCATTCTGATTCATCCTAAGACTCGAAATTTTGTTACCTTCATTACTTAAAGCATACAATAATTTTATTTTAGACTTTCAATATTATTTAACAATATTCAATGTTATTTAACAAGAAACACTAATTATTTTATAATTAAGGTACTTGAAAATAAGCCAGAAACTGTATTTTTAAAAATTAATTATAAGTAACAATTAGATATAATAGGGATGACGAGGATAGCACTAGAAGAATGAGTAAGACAAGGAAAGATATAGGGATAGACAAGGACAGAATATTTTCAAAAGTGTAACTAACGCCATCTCGTGTTTGGCTGCGCGAACTAACGACTCGTTACTCGGAACATAGAATGTAAACGGAGGTATTAAACAAAGATAGCACTAGTGTGCGAGAAAGATAGAGAGAAAACGTTTCCTATTGGTCCGCGGGTCGCCATGTTCCACCTTCCAGGCCCTAAGTAAAGTCGGTTAGGGAAAAATCATTAATAACTCATTGTTTACGATGAATTTGTGAAGTTTTAGTATTGAAGAATGAAGTGTGGACCTTCAGTAACTTTCTCATATAGCTTTTAATGTACTAGACTCTTTCAATAATTAGTTATTAGTAATTATAATACGGGATGTCGGAAACGATACTGCATATATTTACGGTTTTTCAATAATTTCATAGCTTTTTACTAAATTCTTATGCAAGTAACTACATGCGTTTGAAAGATAACTCCTTTAGCTACATTCTCGTATAATTTTTACTAACATATCTTTTGTGATTCGGTAGTTATTTAATATTCTTTGGGTGAGTATTCCACACGTCGCATTTAAGCGTAACACATTTCTGTTATTTCAGTAGATATGCGTGACAAATTATGCACTTTAAAACATGTAGAATGTAGAATAGACTTTTACTTATATTCTGCAATCAGTTTGGTAGCCGTAAGTGATGTGGTTCATTAGATATTAGCAATTCATCGTAACAGTTGACTATATTCGAATACGATGAATAGGGGACTCTCCCATATAATGTTTAATAACTCCTAAACTAATCCGAATATGTTAATAAAAATTTTATGAGAATATAGCTGAAGGAGTTACCTTTTAGATGCATCCAGTCAGTTGAACAAGAATTTAGTAAAAAGCTATGAAATTATTGAAAAACCGTAAATCGTTCCCGACATCCCGTACTATAATTATTAATAACTAATTATTGAAAGGGTCTAGTAAATCAAAATGTATGCGAGAAAGTTACTGAAGGTCCACACTTCATTCTTCAATACTAAAACTTCACAAATTCATCGTAAACAATGAGTTATTAATGATTTTTCCCTAACCGACTTTACTTAGGGCCTGGAAGGTGGAACATGGCGGCCCGCGGACCAATAGAAAACGTTTTCTCTCTATCCTTCTCGTACACTAGTGTTATCTTTGTCTAATACCTCCGTTTACATTCTGTGTTCCGAGTAACGAATCGTTAGTTCGCGCTGCCAAACACGAGATGGCGCTAGTTTCACTTTTGAAAATATTCTGTCCTTGTCTACACGTATAACTTTCCTTGTCTAACACGCATCCCTATTGCTATTCATCTATCCCTATTTCTTTCGTGATGTTTCGTGATGTTTTGTGATTTTCGTGATTTTTCCTGATTTTTAGAGAATGTGGGAAGTCTGAGAAGTGATTACCGGTTAAAAGGTTTTAAATCAAGTATATTGCAAAATGTTATCGCATTTGTGTCCAGTTAAATGGTTCATACGTATGGTCTGCGCAAAGCAGTTAGTAGTACACGGGACACAAAGAACACGAAATCAGCTGTGAACTGTCAAATTTTTATATTATTATAAACGTGTTAGCCTTTACAATTTGTTTTGCTTGAAATATTGCGGTAAGAGGTTTAATTATACAGGTTTTATCATTTATTTTGCATGAGAAAGATTTATTTAATTGTACAATGATTATGACAAAATCAAAAGTGAGGTTAGAAATTTTTATTTGCGAATAGAACCGCAATGCGCTGATTTAAAATACAAATAGAAACTTTTATGGATACAGAAAGAAAGTTATGCAAAATGTCTCCTGACCCTACTCAAGAACCTATTGAAGAAGAATTAAATGTTCCAAACCTGCCACTTGATGCTAGAGGAACAAATGAGTCAGATAGTGAAGATGATGATGTAGGAATGGCAGGATATGTACCCTTATCTCAAATTCCTGCAGACAGTGATCCCATGTTGTATGAAGATGAGGTACATTTCTTACTTGAAAATGTTTTACTAATATATGGTGAAAATTTACACTATAAAATTTCTTATTACTTTAGGATGATGAATGGATATCTAATGCAGGTGAACCTAGTCAAGCATTTCCAACTCCATCGTTAGATTCACAGCAGGTATGCATTTTTCTGTATTGAAAACAGTGTTATTGTACTTATTTATTTAATGATATATTATATTTTCTATAGGATTGTATGTCAGAAACAATAGAAGTTTGGTCATCTTCCTATAATCAATCAAACATTGATATGGATGCAGATAAAATAAATCAAGTGAAATCTATGATGGCCTCTTTTACTTTACCAACTACAGCAATTCCAGAGTGGGCAAAAGCTATATCAGAAGAGCAATGGAAGGAACAACTTATTGGGCGTATTAAAGAAATACAAAATAGGGAAAAATAAATTTAAGTATTTTAATTGATATTTTTACATAAAATTATGTATATAATTTGACATAAGTTAGACATATAATTCTTTTATTGTTTTTTAAGTTATAAATATTAACAGTTGATTGATAGAAGTAAAATTTCAAATTAAGCAAATTCAGTGTATACATTTAATTGTATACAGTAGACAAATCTGACATTATGTAAATGATGACAAATAAAATTATTTATTTTATCTTAATTATATTTTCTATCAAAGATTTTGTTATAAGTTTCATAGATGTTATCTGTTTAATGGACAGTGTTTTGTATCTTATCATTATTAATGCAGAATTTTTATTTGTTGTGATAAATGATTACATAAGTATGTGATACGATACTGTTCAAAATATGAAATCATGCTTCTCCACAGTCATACATTGCAAAGAACACACATGCATCATTGATGATTATCAAACAGAGATGTAATGACACTTATAGTTCGAGATCTGCACTGATAGCGACAGCTTTTGTCTGATTTAATTTCATTCGTAAAGTGGCAATATCATCTTCTATTCTTACTAATTTTCGGAATTTCTGGAAGATAAATTATATAAAATTGAACGTAAATTACATAATTTTGAAGTGGAAATTAAAAATCGTTTTTTAAATTATATACCTCAGAGGTAGTTCCGGATGTTGTGACCCAGCTATAAATCATATAGCCTGGAATACATAACATGGAGGAAAGGCCACAAAACCATCCTAAAACATGACTCCACCATGGGTACTCATATGTAAGATATTTTACGGGAACGAATTTGATTATGTTAAAAGTGAAAACGCCCTAAATTTAAACAATATACATACATTATTGTAGATTAGTAATTATATATCCCGTAATAAAGGTTTCATCTTACCACACAAATTGCAGGAGTAGTAAATGTCCAGCATATTTTCCACCAGCAACAAGGATAATAACCAATCATATCACGAATACCATCGTAGAAACGATTTACTCCGAATGCCCACGATACAGCGATACATTCAAAGAACATTAAAAATAGAAGGCAAAACCCGCTTACGGCATACGAATCTAAGAGTTGAAATACATACATTCCTCCCTGAAAATATTACAAAAATATACACATTTTCTCGGAGTTTATTCACGTGTAATGACAAAAATTAAATCTTATCAATGACTTACTTCGGTAACGCAAGAAAGGCCAACGAGATACGAGATAAAACATACAATTGCTATGAATATTTCTTTTCGTTTTCTGAGGAGGTGCGGCCACTCATCTACCGCGGCTGTTATGAAGCCTTCAACTGTACAAAACTATAAAACATAATAATCGATCATTTTCATTTTCGTATCGTACAAAATTTCTTAAATTACCTGACTGTCTAAGCCAATAAGAATAAGCATGAAAAAGAATAAGCAAGACCAAATTGACGATCCCGGTAATTCTAGAACTGCAGAAGGATAAACCAGGAAAGCTAATCCTGGACCTGAACGAAAAATTTACAAAAATAAAATATTAACAAAAAATAAATGCAGAAGATATTATTCTTTAATTGAACATCGAGTATCGTAATTACCGGAGGCTGCTACGTCCGCAACAGGTTTTTGTTGTTCATGAGCCATGAAACCAACCACAGAAAATATAACAATACCGCTAAGTATACTGGTACATGAATTCACTGTACACACGATAAGCGCATCTCTGAAACAAATACAAGTTTATAAATTATATATGAATTATCTATAGAAATTTTAACATGCTTAAATTACTCACTTATAAACGTTATTGTTGAATTTATTGTAACTTCCGAGTGCAACCAATGCACCTAAACCAAGTGCGTAAGAAAAAAATATTTGCGTCACCGCGTCTATCCATACCTGTGAATGATTTTTCAAACGTTCCTTAAATTATAGTTCAAAGAGTTAGAAAATTTCAAGAAACAAAAAGTATCGATACTTTAATACCTCAGGATCACTGAGTTTCGAAAGATTTGGCGTTGCATAATATTTCAAACCTTCTATAGCTCCTGGAAGTGTCAATCCTCTTACCAGCAAGACAGCTAACAACGCGTACGGAAATAACGACGTAAAATAAACAACCTACACGAAATTAACAATTAATAACAAACAACCTTTCTTCTTACATCATATTCATCTTTTTAAAAACTTACCTTTCCAGTCCATTTTACACCTTTCCAGATACAAAAGTAGCACATGACCCACACTATAGCCAGAGTACCCGCTAATTCCCATCTTATCGAGCCTACGTTTTCTATACCTTCAGAAATTTGAAGAGTACGCCTCCTGTTAAAAAGAAAACAATGCATCAAGTTTGGTTTTTAACGAGACAAAAATGTGTACAAACGTGTACAAAATACTTACTCCCAAAATTCTTTCACTGGATCCTTCAGTAAGGTGTGACTAAAATTACCAATCGGAGTAGAACATATCGTATCCTTGTCTTCCTCCCAACACAACGCTTCCAATCGTTCTGTGGGGGTGAGGCAGTAACACGTGTTCCAAGGATTACCACATGTTCTCCATGGTACATCTGCGCGCATGTTTCATTATGTAGGATGTTCGTATATACGAGAAAGTAAGAAAGAAAAAAAGAAAAGGACGAGGAAGAGAAAATTGTTTCGGTTAAAAGAGAAGGACAGTTTAATTATATCTTATTCCTAGACGATCCCGAGTCGAACTGCCGTCCGATCCGCGCGTCGCAGCCTAACCGATGCTGATGTTCGTTAAAACATACGCTCGGCGGCATGTAGCCTACAATTAATATTAAAAGAATTTCTGCTTATTGCGCGATCTTACTGATATTATTAGGTTGGCAACTAAGTTCGCGACCTTCACATTTTCTTCGACAAAATTATTCTATTAAATTTATACAAGTAATCATTTTTTGTTCAAATATTCCCCATTTGATTCCACGATCTTTCGCCATATTTCGGCCAATTTTTCAATTCCTCGACGATAGAAGTTGGTCATTCTTTGCTTCGAAATACGTGGACAGGTGCGTTTTCACGTTCTCAAATTTCGAAAAACGTTTTCCAGCCAAGTAATGCTGTAGCGACCTGAACAAGTGATAATCACTCGGAGCAGCGTCTGAGCTGTACGGTGGACGAATTAACCGTTCTCAGCCTAATTTTCTGTAGCGTTCGACGTGCAATAATCGCAGAATAATCCCTTTTCGTAAGAATTTTTTCTAATTTTCGCCTGGACACGATCAAGTTGGGACGAGTAGAATTCTGCGTCAATGGTACGATCATTTTCGACCAGCTCCCAATAAATAACACCCCTAATCCACCGCGCAAAACAGAAGGTCGCGAATTTAGTTTCCAACCTAATACGTGTGCCATTTTCATACCGATTCGTAAGGAAACCAGAAAGTAGAAAAATGCCCATGCTAGTATGATGATGTAGTATACATTCGTCCAACAGGAGAGCACACAAGTAGCGTATCCAATGCCTGTTTGTGAAAAAAATTCAAAGATTGTAAAACAGTATTTTAATTTATTCACTTTAAAGTAATTTTAATAAATTAATTTTAAAATAACACGTTCTGTTTAAACATCGCCCCTTATCCTTTCGAATTATATTCACTTACATTCTTAATATCTACATTTTTATCAGTTTTACATATTACGATTGATGCCTGCACTTATACGCACGCTTAATATTCGTTAATTACTTAAACTATGCATTTTTTATGATGTATTAAATGTGGATAATAATACAGAGAATTTGTGGGTCACACATATATGTGACGGTTGGTAGCGAACGTGTTAAATTAAATTTAAGGAAATTCCCAATGAACCTTTAAAAATCGGAGCTATCTTAAAAACGCCCAATCCACCTATAGTCATCATTTGCCCCAGTGACAACTCCATTAGGAACATTGGTATTCCGGCAAGTGCAAGAGCGATAAAATAAGGAACCATGAAAGCACCACCGCCATTTTTGTAACAGAGATAAGGAAATCGCCATAGGTTGCCTAATCCTATAGCCAATCCTACTACAGACAGAATGAACTCGATCTTGAAACAGATAAAAACAATCATACGTTAGAGATAATTAATTTTCAATCGTGATATTCTTTTTCTTTTGTTTTTGTATTTTATTAATCTTGTACATTTGTAATAATAGTATTTCGTATGATCACACCTTGCTGCTCCATGTTCCTCGATCCGGCAATCGTTTGGTCTCCTTAAAAGCGGTAGATTGCAAGCATTGAATCGCCTCGGAGCGGAACTCTTG